TTCAGCCAATACAGCCAGAAAAATAACTCTAACCTTACTTTTTCGGCTTATTACACAATTCAGAGCGTGAAAGCAAAATTTACGTGTTTGGTAAAAAAGTTGGCTGATAAGCCTGATAAGCCGAAAATGAGGGTTGCCAAACGGCCTCTTAGAGCCCGTTTGGCAGCACGAAAATCGGCTGTTCTGGCTGATTCTGCTGAAATTTATGAAGTTCTGACTGAAGTGGCTGCATTGGCTGATTCAGCTGATACAAGAAAAAAATATTTTTAAAATATATTTTATTAATGAAATAAAGAAAAAATTATATGTAAAAATAGCTAAAATGATCATCTACAGTAACTTCAGCCAATACAGCCAGAAAAATAACTCTAACCTTACTTTTTCGGCTTATTACACAATTCAGAGCGCGAAAGCAAAATTTACGTGTTTGGTAAAAAAGTTGGCTGATAAGCCTGATAAGCCGAAAATGAGGGTTGCCAAATGGCCTCTTAATCATCCACCTCCCTTCCTTCAAAATCCATTTTAAATATTGAGTGAAAATTTTGACCCATTTCACATTAGCTAATTACCTAATATTTGGACCACTCATGAATAACTCATTAATTTAAGGATGGAGCAAGCCCAAATAAAATAAGCCCATGATCGTGAAGAACATCTCCAAACCTACACTTCTTCAATCAAATGCCAAACACTAAGAGGCCGTTTGACAACACTGTTTTTCGGCTTATCAGGTTTATCAACAAATTTTTTCATCAAACACGTAACTTATGCTTTCGCGCACTGGATTGTGTAATAAGCAGAAAAAGTAAGGTTAGAGTTACTTTCCTGGCTGTATTGGCTGAAGTTACCGTAGATGATCATTTTAACTATTTTTACATATAATTTTTTCTTTATTTTATTAATAAAATATATTTTAAAAATATTTTTTCTTAAATCAGCAGAATGAGCCAATGCAGCCACTTCAATCAGAACTTCATAAATTTCAGCAGAATCAGCCAAATCAGCTGATTTTCGTGCTACCAAACGGACTCTAAAAGGTACAAATAAACAACGGAAGGCTTCCAGCACCAATCCGCAAAGGTCACAAACTCCCGCATTGCCGGCCTGACAGAGTGAGAGCCTCCTACCTCACCAAAATTACTCATCCTCCTCCTCCGCCGAACCGTCGGATACTCCACGCTTCCGCATCCCCTCAGTTCTGCAAACTTCTCGAAACTTGTAATTCGGTTCTTCCCTTAGTGCGCCGCCAGATATCGATCTGACATGTTAAGGAGATACTCTCTCAACTTCTGCATGCGGAAGATATATAAACATATCAGACCTCACTATCTAATGAACGAACAGTCTGCCTGGCTTCGGACTTTCAGCCGCTCAAAGTTGTTTGACAACGGTAAGAACAAAAACTCTCTCCTACATGTTACCATGACTTTGATCAAGTTTTTTTTCGGGGGGGGGGGGGGGGGGGGGGGGGGGGGGGGGGGGGGGGGATCACAGATAGATCTGCAAAATGTTTAAGTAATCTTTCATTATTTACCTTGGTTAATGTTTATACATGTCTTCAAAGTCTAAATATCTCAAAAATTTTACAAAATGTTATTTTTTCCTAGTCTTTATAATTGATAACGTATATAATTAAGGAAAACTATAAAATATGCCCCTGTACTACTGTGAAAATGGCGAATAGACCCTCGTACTCTAAAAACACCCAATTGAGCTCCCGAGCTCTTAAAATCGATCAATTTATCATTCTATCAGGTAAGCTTCAGGTTCTCGATTAAAAAGTCCGCGTGGCGGACCACGTGGATTTCTTTTCCTTTTTCCTTTTATTTTTTTCTTTCTTTTCTCTCTTTCCTTGCTTCTCCGTTCGCACACACCAGTTTGGTCAACGGGGGATTTCAATTTTGCCCGCACCACCAAGAACTCCGGCCGCCAACTCCGGGGACTGCTACGACCATCTCCCAGGGTTGCGGCCACCATCTATGGAGTCGGAGTTCGTGGCCGGCCATCGTCGGAGTTCGTGGTTGGCCATTGCCGGATTCCTGCAGTGAAAGGCGTCGGCTAAGTGCCTAACTGGAGTAAAGGGCGGCGTCTAACTAAGTGAAGGGGTGGCGGATGAGTGCAGCGATGTGTGGCGGCTAATTGCAGTAGACCAGTGGAATCCGTCGGCTAAGGGATTCCGCCAGCGACGGCGCGCAGGTAGGCTAATTGGAGTGGTGCAGGGTTGGTGGTCACTGGTTGGATAGTGGAGCGGGGCAGTGAGTACAGATAACAGCGGCACAAGGGAGGTGGCCCCCAATGTTGCTGCCTGCTGGGAAGAGGTTTGCAGAGGGCCTCTGCAGAAGAGAAGAAAAAAGGATGACACCCCATCCCCTGAGGGCATCCCAACGCCGACCGGACGGTACGTTGGGAAGACGTAAATTGGACTATAATTCCAATCTGACAGATAGAGAGTGGGGTCCCCGGTACTTGCAGAGGCCCTATGCATTTTAGCATAGTAACCCCTCATCGCAGTTGCCGGGATTCGAACCCGGGACCTAACCCTTGTGTCACTCCCTTGCTACCAGTTGAGCTACGCCCACCGGTACGCAGAAGAGAAGAAAGAAAGAGAAAAGGAGAGAGAAAAAAGAAAGAGAAAAAAAAAGAGAGAAAAGAACAAGAAATCCACGTAGGCTGCCACGTGGGCTATTTAATCGGGAACTTGAAGTTTACCTGCTAAAATGCTAAAATGGTCGATTTTTAAGAGTTCGGGGGCTCAATTGGGTGTTTATAGAGTACGAAGGCCTAATCACCATTTTCACTATAATACGGGGCTTATTTGATAGTTTTCCCTATATAATTATTTTATATACACAAGATATTTGAGATTGGAGGAAAAATCATGCGCCTATTTCAGATCTTATTCCGCATAATATTCCTTGTTCTCGGCATATATTTTTATGAAATTTATTTTATTTTTTCCGTTAAAATGAACATGAAAGCCAAAACTCTGAAATGAACACTCTCCTACTTTTTTTCCTTTCTAGATTTTGACATTTAAGAAATCATAATAGTATTATTCTGTATTTTAGAAGATCTATGAAGTAGAATATACAGAAAAAACCTGAATTTTTAAAATTAAGAAAATATAATTCTAGATAATTCAAAAATAATGAAAATTAAATAAAGAAAATATAATTCGAGAACGTTCTCCTATAAATTTTTAAAATTAAGAAAATATAGAAAAATCATGTACGGCAAATGTGTATGCAATTATTTATGTATCCATGCATTAAAACCTCTAACTATGTAATGTTATCATTATTGAGAATCACCATGAGAGCAACCACGAAAAAGCAATTCGACATTTGCTCATGGAAAGAATCAAATGAACAACTCTACATTGCCAACAAAATGTATAATCATTTACACATCTCATGCCTGCTTGAGTAAATTGGTGGCCTCCTATGTATTCTGCAGGAAATTGATTGACGACAATATAAACAAAGTAATCAAAACAGCGAGATAGATGTGTGAATGAATGTGAGAAGCTTCATGCCTCCGGGCTGCTTTTATAGCCGAGTGTTGCATTGCAACCTGTTAGGAGTATGATACGCTCAATCAGCTTCACTATTCTCACCACTCATTTCAACCAATAGAATTTTAGTATTTCAAACAGTGATTTTTGACCTTCTATTCACGTACATCAGTCAACAGTGCACACCTTCATTTAGAACCAATAGGAATAGCTAAAAAATCTTTTACCTTTGTGCAACTCTTTTGGAATCAATAGGATTTGTTTGCAAAAAACCTCATGACTATCGTTGTAATATCTTCAGTTTTTTGTGTTTATCCGAACAAATTACAAAGCAAGAAATTGATGCTGACATTTATAAGCGGAAAAACTGTTCATCAAACTTCTTTAGCTTTTATATTAGAATAGAAATCATTGTTTTTGTAGCACATTTGAGCATAGAAGTGAGCAATAAAATATTATGATCTACACGTGATATATATGCTTTAAATCAACTTATTTATTTAATTATATTATCATTGTATTATCATCAAAAATATTTATCGTACATGCTAATTTTATAATTTAATATTAATACTCATTTCACCACATACTCATCAAGTATGTACTAAAGTACCAAGATGTATGGTGTGCATGGTACATCCGATTTTACCATATAATTTACACAATAATGTGTGGTAAGAAAAGTTATGGATCCAAAGGAAATGAATATATAGTGAAATAGAATAAAGAGTGAAGTGTGGACATTCTTACTCCAAGAATATATAGTGAAAGCTAATAAACTCAATTGGCCATTTTTATAAAATTCAATGATTTGATAGATTTTTTTAAAAGTACCAGGATTTAATTGCACTTTTTCATGTCTTTGTCACTCTTACACAGTTACACGTAGTATTTACAAAGTATTGAAAGTCTTATATCCTAGATTCTTGTTCACTTCAACATTGTCTTACTGCGTAATACCCAATTGCTAATACCGACAGAAATTCATGTGATTCTATTTATACCAAAATGCATGTGATTTTATTTATATCAAAATGCATGTGATTTTATTAATTTATTTATACCGAAATTTACTAATATGGGAGAAATGTAAACTCATCTATCAATATAGAAGCTCTCACTATTAAACCAATATTTAAGAATAGAAACGGTACTAAAATTACTTTGCAATAGACCAAATCAGACATAAACAGACCAAACATTTAGCAGACCAGACCATACTAGTTCAGATCAAACTCAAACAGACCAAACATGACCAACAAATTTTAATCCAAGTAAAAACATTCTCACATAACACTGTCCAAGTTCTAGATGAGCCATGGGAATTTACCAGCAAATGAATGGCAAACAATGAAATAAACTCGTTTGATTTTTGCTGTTTGGCAGAAATGGTCGAATCTTCTTAATCTTATAAAATATACGAGTACTTAATATAAAGCATTTGGTAAAAGCTTCTTATTATTCTGCTAAAAAAGAAGACAAATCAAGCTCCCAAACTAGCTCTTATTAGAATCCATAGGTGGAAGCATATAATTAAGTATCCTGTACAAAATTGGGTATTATTAATTTCCTGTATTAGATAGACACATTTTCACACAGTTCCTGAATCATCATTCTCCAGAATAAGAGCCAGGAGGAGCTCATGACTCCAGTTCTAAGCAGTTCAGAGTTACACAAAAATGACAACTGTGCCTATTTCTTTTAATCCAACTGGGGGAGTAGTTCAACAAATCCTTTACTCAAAAACTCTTTAACACAGTTTAATATGACAACCAAACTCAAGAAGAAACCTTTAAAGGCGTGACTCCTCATAGCCTTGTTTGGTGAATCAAGTGACACAAAACTTACGAAATCCCGTCACTCGACTTTTGCCATGCCTCCGCTAGACACGCTGCTGTCAACAACAGCCTCTTTCACAAATCTGAAATTTTAAAAAAATTAAACAAGGACTTGTCAACAAAAAAGAATGCTACAAAAGAAGTTTAACATGGGTCAAAAGGAGATCAGTTTATAGATACCTTGCTAATTTATCTCGAGAAGATTGCAAAATATAGATTGAGAGAATAAACGTTAGAGTTAGCCCTGTTTGTTAGAGAAAACAGAAAAAAGAAAAATAAAAACGGTCAGGTTATAAAATTTGGAGAGCCACATCAACCAACACTAATTCTTCAGACAGAGCTCACATGGGCAGGGCGTACCCAAAGGGGAGGGGAGGGGATGCAGGGGGCACCCCCCAAACCCAACCATTCATCATCACACACAACACACAAAGACACAGACACATATATGATATACCCACGCATCAATTTCAGCCAATATGTGTTTGGTGCATAAATACCACATTCAGTCATCCTTTAACCATAATTTTGCATTTGTAATTTAAAACCTGTTGAATTAAATACTTCAAAAGTATAAATACGTGGTTATTTTAAGATGAGTGATTTCATATTTCTCGTTGATTTTCTAATATAATTGTTCATTCACTTCATTGTAAAAATGAAGTTGTTCAAATATGTTCACATGTGTGAGTTACCATTATCTTTTGACCTTGCCCCCATATTAAAATCATGCATCTCCCACTCAATTTAAATACTCTGTAATTCACTTTATTATATTTTGTAATGAAAAAGTTTTATCTCATCAATGGTAATAATTAAGTTTTGATAAATACTACGTATATTTTACTGTGTTATGTGCTTGATCTCGTCCCTCTCAATAAAAATCCTAGATACGCCACTGCACATGGAATTTAATTACATGAATACCTCTGATGAACTGCTAATCAGGAAACCAGAAAACTGTACCTGACCCAAAGAGAACATAAAATCCAGAAGCAACATCTATCTCTGACTGTTCTGTCCTACACAGTACACACATTCAAAGTAGTTACAGAAAACATCAAATTAGTAGCTTGAAAACTATTATATTGCCGGGCAATATCATCTAGCATGACAACACACAGAAACCGAGAATCACATACGAGGAGTTTAGTCGAGCCCAGAACAATAAACATATCTAATTGAATGGTGTTATGAAGTGGTGAATATTTTTATGTGCACAATTGTAAGGAAAAAATAAAAGTATTGGGTGACCTCCACTAACCCTAAGATTAGTAGCACCCAAACTCTCCTTCCCAGATTACTGCTTCTCTTACTTCACCCTCCTTTTCATCATCTAACATTCAATACAATCTCCCTTTCTGTAGCAATTACACTTGGCATACTAAAACTATTCTTTGGTTGCCAGCTTGCTATCTGTAAGGATTTCTCCAACTACTTAAGAATGAGACCCCCAAAAAATGATTAACACAGCAAGAGAGATAATTTCAATTAGTTAAAAATAGTTATATCACTCGTGACTCGTGCAATCCTAAAGGTTCCAAACTGAGAAACTGTTTCGGAAAATATAGGGAGGGTTACCGGCAGGAATCTAGTATAGAAAATATGAGAGAATGGGAATAAATAACATTGTACTTTATTAAGATATTTGTTCAAACTCATTTATCTTTTTCTTTTTAATTTTACTACGTCCGTCCCATTTCGAGGTTCCTGGTGCAGTTTACGATGGTTGACTAAGTTAACTTTTCTCTGATAATAAGTAAATATATATATATATATATATATATATATAGGGAAGAGTTCAAATGAAAAGTGGTCTTCCCGTGCAAAGTGCAAAGTTTTCACTTTTTCATATTTCGCTTGCACTTTTTCTTGTTTACTTTGCACTTTTTGGCCATTTTGATTTTGGCCAAATTCGGCCAAAATGACGGTGGCAGTTTTGTAAATAAACCAATTTTTTGAGCTACCGCGAAAAAGTGCAACGAAAGCAAGAAAAAGTGCAAGCGAAACATGAAAAAGTGCAAACTTTGCACTTTGCACGTTAAGATCACTTTTTATTTGAATCATCCCCTATATATATATATATATATATATATATATATATATATATATATATATATTAGTATTAATAATTAAAATTAGATATTTAAAAAATACAGATGAAGTTCTATCAAATTGCAAAAACCAAATTTGACAATGTTAAACATTTGTTATCTAAAAATAGAGATTAAAAGTGAGTTAACTTGACTGTGTGAATAGTTTATGGGAAACATAAACTGGGAAGGAGGGAGTACACAGTAAAGCTTCAGAAATATAAATACATACTTCGTACAGAGTATTATATCTCAAAAAGTGTTGATCAATTTGACTTCCCAAGGTATAACTAAACATCAAAATCCGTTTTCATGAATGACTTTTCCTTCCTCTTCAATTTTCTGAGCTCTAGAGTCTAGACATAGTCAAAGGGAAAACAATTTCTGTGCAAACAAAACTGGGAATTTCAGGCAACTGGTAGTTCTTTTCAAATAGTTGTGCAGGTGCCAAAACAGTAACAAGCATGACAGAATTGAGGAATTTGGGGAATTACATGCATCTACAATTGCAGGAATTTCAGTAACAGTACATTATATGACACCCAACAACAACAACATCCAAGCCTTAGTCCCAAAAGATATTGGGGTCGGCTAACATGAATTGATACATGATAATATCATGTATCTGTATTGTATCATCATGATATCATGATGATATCACAACCAAAAGGAAAAGAAAGAAAATAAAGATAAAAAAGATAAGCTATTATAAAAAGATAATATAAAAAAAGATGAATATACATAAAAACGATAAAATAAAAAGGCTACAAATAATGCTTATATATATAAGGATAAAAAACAAGGAAAAAAAAAGATGAGGGAAAAAGATTATACGAGATCACTCCTTCACGCGAATACCCGCCCTCCACTTAGTTCTCTCCAATGTCACATTATATGACACCCATTATGGGAAAAACTGATACAGATCATAAAGAATGATTGTTAAGAAGAAAATCATATATTAGCCACAGGACACAAACCAAACGATATAACCCCATCAAACCTCTAGAATGATTTATTTTCTGAATATATGTATGAGGTTTTTTAGGAATAAAAAGTTGGTAAGTGAAACAAATTCATCAAAGAACCATGTAATTTTACTGAAATTGCTCATAGAGTACCAAATGATGCCATCAAAGAACAAAGACACTCAAGGATATAGAGATTGGCAATGATGACTCTTACCATGTATATCTGACAAGCACGTGTTTTGGCCAGTGTTGTGGGTCCCAAAATTGTTTACGTATGTCAGGATGGGATTCAACATCTGTCCAGATAATACAGTAGGAATACTTAGCCTCTAAAAGACTACAACAACAACAACAACAACATTACCCCAGTGCCACAAAGGCTCCCACCTACGGTGGGTCAAGGGGGTCGGATGTGCCAGCCTTACCCCATACTAAAGCACAAAGTTAGCCCTTGAAAGGCTACAACTGAGAAATCAATTAATAAGAGATGTTTTCAGCAAGAAAAACCATCTTCATCATCAACAACTTAATCGAAAATAGGCCGGGCCTGTGGCATGTGGGGCTTATAATGTCAATCAGTTGTCCAAAATTAAGAGAAACACTGTAAATTTAATGCAGAAAAATTGCGGTGAAGTTTTATTATGTTATACTCGAACTACAATATTTAGCCAGCTTGCAACAAATGATGACAAACACAAGAAAATATTAACATACAGGTATGAGGCATGTCCATTACTTTAGTAGAGACGCCAAGAAAATCTCCTCCTGAGTACCTCTGTGCAGGACATGAGAATAAATTAGTATGAGAAGAAGAATTTAAGAAATTGGTTTCAGATTTTCATTAAGATCAGCCTACTGCCTAACCATTTCTGATCAGGGGAAAGTTAAGCAACAAAGTATATAGAGGTGTAAGTGTATATGTACATGATCACGCTTACCATGAGAAAAAAAATAGCTAGGAGAAAATCCTTACCAAATGCATATCAATCATTGGGACTTCAGTACTCTTTCGGTTAATCACAAGTAACCATGGAACATAAAATTTCTCTTTCCCAACTTGGAAGGATCTGCATTTTAATACTTCATTTGAAAACTTAAAACTCTAGAAACTCGAGAATAGGTGTGTAGATATTGCAGTTCTCATACATTTGCCGAAAATAAACAATAAATCATGGCATTCAGAAATAATATTTGGTCAATATCTCAATTCTATTGAAAATAGGACTATTGATTAAGGTGGAAATTGGGGTAGCCTCTTCGCCATTTATCAAGGTACAATCAAGACATAGCGAAGCATATCATCTTATCCTAGCTTAAATTCAAAGTGTACAAGATACCATGATGATGGTTTACAATCCTTGAAGTCTACACAGAGTCCAACCCCAAATTAATAATCCATCCGGAGAAACACCCAAGGACCAATAATTGAATATTTTTAAGGCCTTGCTTCTTAAGTTCCCAGAGTTCTGGTAAAGCTGCTCAGTGAAGTTCTCCCACCCCGCATAAAGTTAATGACTTTACCTCAATTCAAGATTTTACAAATGATTTGGCTAAACAATAAAGCAAACCTGAATTTATCCTAAGCAGCATAATATATTCTACTAGATTAAAAGAAAGTAAACAGGTAAAATAAGTATAAAAATCATAGCATCTAGAATTACTCCGTATATAACAGGCACTCACATTTTATAAGGGTCAGCACCAGTGTAACCAGTCGGTTTAGGGATTGGAATCAATGCCTGCAGTCAAAATACTCCAAATAAACTTACCAGACCAACAAAGTTAACAGAAAAATAAATAAAAACAAAAGTATAGTCGTATTGAACACCAAGATACATATATCTGAGCTGAAACAAATATGGAACTTAAAATGAAATTAAAAATAACTCTTAGCGCATGAGCCGCCAAGAACTTACTTCCCGGTTAACAGCGAACATCGGGCAATGCTTTCCAATCATATCATGCCAAACAGTCCTCGACTGCAATCAAATGAAGAACATAGATAAATTAATTAATCGATAAATACAAATAGCTTAAGAAAACTATCAATTTATGCAGGTATAAAGCTGATATACGTATACCCACCGAATGGTATTGCCCCATGCGGCTCATGGGTACGATATCACCGGGTCTGTAGGCAAGTGATTCCGAGGCCAGGGATATGAGTACAACTAGTGAGCCGATCATGGAACCAATCCTGCGATTTCTCCCCATCCTTAAGGGGAACCTGCTTGCTCTTCAAAAGATGAATTCCAACGAGAAATGTTGATTTCAAATCATAGCCGATATCCGATTGCAAGAGATGAGTGAGGTGAGGTGAGGAACTTATGAAATTCTTCATTTCAGTTACTTTTACAATAATATATACTCCCTCCCTAAGTCCATATTTTAATTGTGGCAATTTAATAAATGCAAATAAAATACAAAACTTTGAGTTACACCAATGAAATGCATCCTAGGTATGGTACCTCCTATTTTTGTTGGATACCATAGCAAGCACCATTAGTACAATGGTAAACAATTAAATAGTACTCCCTCCATCAAATCAAAATTGTTTAATTTTTAATTATTTAAAAAATTTGATCTACACATATCTATGTAAAAAAGTTTGATTTACGCATATTTATGTAAAATAGAGTTTTGTTTTGACTTTTCAAGTATATCTTTATTTTATGTCAAATTGAGCAAAAAGTAGGTAAAATGTAAGAGTTGTTGTGACTTTTTAGTTAAGGGAAAAATAAATAAAATACTTCAAACTTTGATGGAGTGTGATATAAGCACCCCAAACTTGCATACGCAATTTAAATACCCCAGATTTTGTATAAAAAATTATTTTAGCATCATGGTCATGTATTATTTCTTTCAAAAAGTTAATTTTTTATGTTTATTTCATAATTCGATAATTTTTAGCATTCATAAAGATACAATTAACATTTTAAACTTACATTGTAAAATAAATGGTATTACCCCCGCTATATATAATTCTAATGTTTTCAATTTGCTATTTTAAATTATGCGTTTAACACCATAAATTTACAATTTTGAAAGAAATAATACATAACCATGATGTTTAAAGTTTGGGGTATTTAAATTACATATTAAAGTTGGGGGTATTTCTTTCACACTACTTCAAAGTTTGGGGTATTTTATTTATTTTCTCCTTTAGTTAAAAGTGGTTTCTTTTTATAGAAATGAGAAATTCTTTTTGGGACATCTTTAAAAGGAAAGTGGAAACTTCTTTTCGAGACGGAGGTCTTGGCTACACTTTGCCTAAAAAACACAAATAGGACTACTTTTTTTATTCCCTCCAGATAGGACTAAACATTTGTTTCTATCCTAAATACCTCTAAGAGTATTAATTCATAATGAATGTCTAAATTCATAATAAAATCATAAAAAATAATTAAAAATCGTAAAAAAATAAAAAATTGTAAAAAATATAAACAATTAATAAAAAATATTAAAAACACATAAAAAATACAAAAAAAACATGAATTTCTTTCCCACCGCCTCCCAGCATCATCACCACCGATCAGTGAAAACTATGTCATTTTTTGTAAAAAACCCCATTTTTTTAATATCCCAAGAAAAACGCATTATTAGAAGCTTTTCTGTTCGTCTTATTCTTATTACATATTGCTTATTCTTATTTTATTCAGATCAGATCAGAAAAATTCAGAGCACATCAGATCAGATTAGAAAGATTCAGATCAGATCAGATCAGATCAGAAGCATTCAAATCAGACCAAAAAGATTCAGATCAGATCAGACCAGATCAAAAACATTCAGATCAAATAAAAAATATTCAGATCAGATCAGAAACATTCAGATCAGAAAAGTTAAAACATGATTTATCACTTTTATTATTCTAATAATTTTAATAATATTAATAATGATAATAATTTTTCTTACTACTATTATTATTATTACTCTGCATTACTATTATTATTATTATACTTAGTATTTATAATTGTACTTATAAATATAATATGTATTTCTATAATTATAGTTATAATTGTAATTGTATTTGTAATTATAATTATAATTATAATTATAGAAATAATTATAATTAAAAATATAATTACAATTATAATTATAGATATAATTATAATCAGTTTAATAGGTATAATTATTATAATTTGAATTTTAGTTACAATTATTATTATAAATATAATTATATTTTTTATAACTATTATTATAAATGTTATGCTTTTTAAGTTTTAATTTTTTTATTTTTTTAAAAAGGACATTTTTTTAATTTAAAATAAGAGTACAATGTTGTAAAGGAAAAACAAAATAAAAGTACATGAAAAAAAATTAAGTGCTAAATTAAAGGAAAAGCATAACAAAAGGAAAAACAGCTAGTCCCATGGGATATCTCTGGATTGGGACCTGGTTTTCATGTTGTGACGCCTTTTGTTTTTTTGTGATTTCTTGTAGATTTTGAGCTGCGTATTCAAGTTGTCGGTTGGTAGGCAATTTTCTGAGGTTATGAAATTTGCTTTGAGGCAAATCGCGGTATTAAATTTTAATTATAATTATTATAATTATAGAAATATTCAAATCAGGTCAGATTCGAAAGATTTGGATCAGATCAGAAGAATTCAGATAAGATCAGAAGGATTCAGATCAGAAAGATTCAGATCAGATCGGACTAGATCAGAAAGATTCAGATCAGATCGGATAAGATCAGAAAAATTCAGATCAAATCAGATCAGAACTTAATAAATTCAGATCACAAACATTCATATCAAGTGAATAGAACAACTTCTTACTCTTCATAATGCCAAAATTTTCACTGAATATGTCATTAGTATGGAATTAATAAAAATGTTGGAAGGTTTCCAACCGGTGATGGGAGGTGGTGGTGTTGGGGTGCCAAAGGCGGCGGGTTGTTTTTTGCGTTTTAATTTTTTTAATTTTGTATTTTATATTTTTTTTAAAAAGATTTTTTAAAAAAAAATGTTTTATGAATTTTTTACTATTTTTCAACGTTTTTTATTATTTTGTATGATTTTATTATTAATTATGACATTTCAAAAGTTACAAGGGTATATTTGTCCAACACACATAAATAGTCCTACTTTGATGGAATTTAAAAGATGTAGTCTTGTTTGTGCTCTTAAGTCATTTTTTGTCCGATTTAGGTAATTCACTCTATGGAATATTATGGGTAAAGAATAGTCTAGAAAACCAAGCATTCCAGCTCAGCTGGTTGCGAGGTTACTGTGTTTAGTGAGAGGTCTCGAGTTCGAAACTCGCTAGGCACATAAAGGGTTCGAAACTCAATGGGCTGAGTTTCAACCCTGATTACTCCAGGCCCCCTCCCCCAGACCCCCTGGAGTAAAACAAAAAAATGGAGTATATGGCCCAGGAACCCCCGGCCCACATACTTCCGCTACTACAGTCAGGCCCAACAGGCCCAAGTGACACAAATACAGCAAGCAAGACTCCAGACATCCCATACTACAACAGGTTACTGCCTTCGGACCCATGGCCAAAGGCCACACATTCGACAAACAGATACACTTGGTTGACTAACGTCACTGGGAAATTCAGGCTGAGGTTACGTGCACCCTTCGGTATTTACAGCCTTCGGCATATACACAGCCTTTAGCTCATACATAGCCTTCGGTACAAGGGGCCCCCGGGTGCATGTAACCGAGGGCATTCTCCTCGACAAGATCTCCCCTCCACATGCGTTGGATCGCCGCATTGAATGTGAACGTCACACCCAAACCACCGCATTAAATGCGGCCACATGCTATGTCGGCGTCACCCTAGCTAAATTGACCATCCATCATTGGTTGCTTGACACTTGTACCCTCATTGATTAGACCTAGCATTTATGGCTGCTATAAATAACAGCCATTCTTCCATTGTAATCGACACAATTTATATATTGAACACACATCCACTCTCTCTCTTACTTATTGCTCCGATCTCTCTCTTGATATTACTTATAATATCCCTCGGATAAGCTACCACTGGGTACACTATCCATCAAAAAGAATAGTCTAGAAAAAGTATGTGAAAAGGTGGAAAAAGTATGAAATAGAAGATAAAAGTAGAAAAAGTAAGGTTCGTTGAATATATTTAGAAGAAAAACTCACGAAAAAGGAAAAATGTAGCAAAGTTTTATATACATCCAAAAAAAAGTGTAACAAACATTAAAATGCGGAGGAAGTACCACGTACTACGTATATTGTATATTTAAAAAAATTACGCAAGGAGTAACAAAATAATTTTTATTAGTACATAATATAATGGGTATTGATAATAATTGTGAATCATAAAAAAATTGTGATATTATTATAGATGTATCATTTTTAATGTTTAATGATTAAATTGTTATTTAAGAGTGCTAATTGTTTCATAAAATAAATAATGAAAACTTTTAAGTGGAATGTCTAAAAAAGGAAAGTGTGAACATGGGACAGAGGGAGTATTAATTACGTAGTATTAAGATAGTTAACCTCAAGACTTTTGGACCGAAACCGCCTTTCGGCCGACACCGTTTGAGGTGGTTCGCGGTAGAGTTTTTCGATGAAATTATTTTGACGCAATGTTTTTCTATCATTTATTTAACTGACTTTTCGATCGAATTTTAAGTTGAAATTTTGTGAACATTCTCGTCAAATTTCATCAAAAAATTTCACTCGAAATCAATCTCAAATAGAGATGTCCGAACCGCAGTTCCTATCAAGAAGTCACGACTAAGAGCCAGTGGCGGACCCAGAAAGTCGGAGTCACGGGGTCCCTACCCTTTTATATCTCTAATCCAAGTCTAATTACTTTAAAACTAAGATCGTTCAGAAAATGAAGTGACATAAATAACCGTTCGTTTAGAAAATTAATAATCGTTCGTCTAGAAAAATAATATTTATGTCACAGATAGAAAAATAATATCCTATAATTATAGTATGTTTATTCCAATAATTTTCTAAACGAGCGATTATTTATGACACCTTAAAATAATAAATAGGGAAAATAACTTTAAATAATACAAAGGGGTAATTTGAGTTTCCACCCCATTTTATTGTCCAAATTGGACTTTGCACAACATTTTTAAAAATCTTTGTTTATGCACCCCAACCCCTTATGAAAAGAGAAAAATGCCCCTCCAGTAACAATTTTGTTGGCCTTCAACATATTCCTGATTGAGGGGCATTTTTGTCATTTCATACGGGGTTGGGGTGCAAAAACAAATATTTTTAAAAACGGGGTGCAAAGTCCAATTTGGACAATAAAATGGAGTGCAAACTCAAATTACCCCTACTACAAACTATCTTCAATGAACCAATAATAATACATACTTTAGAAATAGCTTTTAATAATATCAACTATTTGAGTGTAGAACAAAAATAAAATGGAGTCACTTTAAAAAAAACCACTAATTTAAGACATTAAAAACTAATGTCGAACCAATAAATAATATTCGGAAATACGCTTATAGTACTGCTTATGCTGTTTTCCCTTGCCAAAAAAGTTGTTTTCCCTAATAAATAGGCAAAAAACAAAAAGAGACACCTAAGGGAATCGAACCCTGCACTTCCGTGAGCAACTAAAATTTTAGATTCAAGCATGCTTCCACTGCTTTAATGTCAAGTTCATGTTTTCAATTAGCTTTCATCTTACATATACATTTTATTATTAATTTATATAAAATACATATAATATATATAAGTATTTTTTTTTTGAAAGTTCATGGGGTCCTGGGACCCGTGGGACCCTTGGTGGGTCCGCCACTGCTAAGAGCATCCGCAATGCATGACCATCTAGTGCAAATAAATTATGTCACCATGAAATTAGACATTGTGTATCTTGTAACTCTCCCATGCATGGTGTCTTTGTTGAATTGGCAAAAAAATAATTGAACACTATGAAGGAGGCTTGTCAAGTGAGAAAGTCTCCTGGACTTGCTGATTTATCGCCGCTTTATTTTACCTTTTCTAACTCAAATTTCTCCCATAAAATAAAAATGAAACCGATTCACAATTCACAAATCAATTGATCTAACTCGTTGTTGAGAATTCTGCTACAAAAATCTCCTGCAGAAATCCCTCACCCACCTCTCTACATCCCTAAAATAACCCGTCGGTTTGATGAGATGTATATATGTATGTATATTATATATAATAAATATATAGAGGTGTGTATGTATATGTAACTTCTACGGCCCATTTTAATATATACTCCCGAGCATCGGTTTTGATTTTTGGATTGTTTGTTTCTTCTTTTGAAGTGGTATGTTTCTTTTGAGAGGTTTTGATCTAGTCTCCTGTCTCCCTCTCGTTTGTACTTAGTCTTTTATTTTAATAAAATCCACCAAATGTTTCTCGGCATTTGCTGATTTGCCCCACTGATTTTGTTGTTTTGCTTTCCGGATTAAACAAAAAAATGTATGTATATGTAAATAATCAGGATTGACTTTAGAGTTTAGAAGCACCGCTTTACATGAATACGGGAATTGAAACAATTATTTTGATGTGTAAAATTGACATTTTATTATCATTTTAATTACGTAATATAGTAAACTCCTTTCTGGACATTTAAACTGCACAGATAGATTATATGCAATGGAGGACTTTTCTATGTTTCCAGGTCCAGTCACTGCACTAATAGTGTTTGGCACACTTAATTTGGAGTAGATGCTCTTGCATTGAGGATGCTCTTAGAAAATCATACACTACTAGAGATTGTGGATAGATGTAGGCTCAAGTTTACCCACAAAGATTCATGAATTAATCAATCACAGTAGATTGCAAAGCTTTTTCCAATGTTGCAGCCATCCCCTGTAGAGAAGATGTGATAAAACCAAGGAATGCATCACTGTTCATCCCATCAATAGGGTCAGCAACGTAGGACCACACGATCTCACACCCGACCTCGTCATCACCGTCCAATGTGGGCAACACCTTGAGCGTAGCAATGTAGCCCTTGATCCCGATGTTGTTTTCCAAAACTTGATAGCTCATACACTTTTCGTCGTGGTCAACGCTAACCAGCCTCTCGCGACACCACCTTACCTTATTTTCGTTGCCTGACGACGCCGTGGCAGCGACGTACCGGACCATCCCAACCTCTCCCTTCACTCCTTCAACATGATGGCACTGATCTAAGGTGGGGAGCCATTTGTGAATGTTGGAGAAGTCTTCAACCAAGACAGACCATACTTTGTGTGCTTTTGGACCATTTAAGCTTGCTGTGGTTTTTCCTTCCCATTTAAGCTCTTTTGAACCTGCCATCTCCATACTAACTTGCTACTTTAAAGAAAACTACAATATAACAGCCATTAGTTTAGTAAACAACTCTACTAAAATCTCAATAAGTAAATAAAGTACCTCCAAATAAATATATAATAAAATCTTGTTATCACCCACAAATGTAATATGGATCCAGGAATTTGCTCAAACTTCAAATACTCAAAAAGTCAAAATAAATACTTTAATCAAATTTAAGTAATAAGAATCACTTTATTGCAAAACTGAAATACCTAAATAAAATAATAGCTAGCTAGAAGTTGTCATGGACCATGGTCGTTCATGTTAACTCATTTGGTAAGTGTTCTACTCTCTCATCATCCTCCTAGGCATTGGCCTTACCCTTAGTATATGAATATGAAAAGAAAGAAAAATTGGTATACTTTACGTTTAGTAAGTCATTATAGATCAACAAAATATCTAAAGAGTCTATACTAATTTATCAATTAATAATATTAGGCTATATGTCTACACTAAACAAATAACTCACAACGACTTCTCAAATATATTCTGAAAGGGATCAAAAAAAGAAAACTTCCTAAAATAATTTCTTGAAAAGCTTCTGAAGAGATCTAAGAGAATTCTTGCTAAATTAACTCTTAAATAACTTCAGAAGAGATCTAAAAAGACTTTCTGAAATGATTTCTGTAAAACTTTCTTAAAGAAATTTTATTAATCTTTCTGTGACTAATTTTAACTTTGGATTTGTGATATGTACTCAATGGCGCCATTTCGACGACTCAAAGGAGCAACCCACTAAACATATCAAAATTCTAACTCTAATAACTATGTGGGGTTTTGTTCCCGAATACATATCACATAATCTTTCACTTTTTAATTTCAGTTCTTTTTATGGCGCCATTTGATTAAAACATCGCTAAAATCTTAAAATAAATTAAATAGATAATAAAATATCTGGAGTATAAAATTAAACAACTTATCACATAATTCAACAAGCTCACATTATAAAGCATATAGTCTAAAGTCATCTATAAAAATCAGCCAGGCTTCTCTCCTTTTGGTTGGACTAGCGTGTAAAGGTGATAGTGAACTTACCTATTAGAAGTTGAACTCAAATTACTCAAATAAGTGTAGCACTTTGATAATGTCTTTTGGTAAGCTCTTCCTTAATAATATGTAGGGCAACCATACATTAAGAAAATAAAGTCTGCACATCCTACCATGTGACTTTTCACATTCTAACGGAAAATCCTTTACCGTTGCTCATCCTTTACCGTTGCTCTTATAAATTAGGGACCATTGGTGAGGAAACTCACCACTTAACACATGATGGTAAACTCATATCGAAACCACTAGCTTTACCAGCAGCAGCGGTAAGTTTTATTATTTACGAAGGAACCAAAAGCTTTAAGAAGTAATACTAAAAAACACTCATAAGGTTCTAGCCCGATTAGTTAAATTGAAGCCATTAGAAATAACTTAAAAATTGATCCACTAGCAATAGAGAAGTAGAGAACATTGGTTTACTGAGAGTTGAGAGAAACAAACTAAAACTATGGATTTGGAACAAGAATATGAAGTAAGGAATATGTAATTTACCAGGTTTGTGATGCCAAGACTCAATCTATCAATATCTTGCTTCGGCCTATTGAAGGAGAAGAATTTCGAGAAGGAGAAGTGAGAAAAGGTGCAGCTAGTATTGGTGGAGAAAGGCACATATATATAATTCTCTTTTTAGGGATTTTTAGTCAAAATACTGATTCAAGACAAGATAACTGATTTGGGTGTCTTAGCCTTCTGAAAAAATGCTTTTGGTCCAACTAAATTAGTACATTCTCCCTTTCAATAATATACTGCTCGTGGAGGGAAATTTCACAAAGACATGTATTGTGTTGAATGGACCGGACAAACACAAAGTCTTTTTTTTTTACTCCAGGGGCCATCTAGGGGAGGGGGGAGGGGGGGCTGAAGTAATCAGGGTTGAAACCCACTCCATTGAGTTTCAAACCCTTATGTGCCTAGCGGGTTTTGAACTCGAGACCTCTCACTAGACACGGTAACCTCACAACCAGCTTGGAGATGCTTTTAGCTAATAAAGTCAACGGAAAGCTGAGGAAAGGCATATTTAAAGAAGCAACTTTTTTTATCAATATATCAACACACACAGTCTACAATATATGGCAGACATTCATGCCACAGATTATGGCTGGGAAAGAAGTTGATATGCAGCCTAAGTTAACGAAACTGAAAAATATGCTTAGTAACTTTGTTTTAGTCTATTTAGTTAACAAACTGAGTACTCTACTAGTATAGATATCAAATTTGAAAATTATGTTTAAGAACTTTGTTTTGATATGTTACTCTACTAGTTTAGCTAACAAAACTGAAAAAATATTTTAGCTTGTTTAGTTAACAAGCTAGTTACGCTACTAATTTAGATAACAAACTTCATAGATATGTTTAAGAACTTTGGTTTGATATGTTACTCTCCTAGTTTAATTAACATAACTGAACACATATGATTAAGAGGTGTTTTAATAAAACTGTTTACTAATTTGATTTAATACATTAGATTAAAACTATGTGTAATTTGTTTTGACCTTTTAATCTTACTCTTACTATGTCAAGAATGTTATTAATAAAATTACTTAAGTGAAGAAAACAAATGAGTACAACAACATCCAAGCCTTAGTCCCAAAAGATATTGGGGTCGGCTAACATGAATCGATACATGATATCACAACCAAAAGGAAAAGAAGGAATAAAGATAAAAAGATAAGCTATTATGAAAAGATCATATAAAAAAGATGAATATATATAGAAATGATAAAATAAAAAGGCTGCAAATAATGCATATATATATATATATAAGGATAAAAAAAACTAGGAAAAAGAAAACAAATGAGTATTTACTTTTATTTGTCCAGTACTATAGTTAAAAGAAAGATACCTTGTATTCTTTTGTTAACAAGAGTACATTAAACAGACTACTCCAAATTATGGAGACCCTAATCCAAATTGTACTCTGTTTACTTTAAGAATTCAGATTATGGAATAAAGAGCTAACTTCACCTTTCGGCTTTCACGAAACTTTAGTCAAACTCTGGTTTAATAAATTAGACTTTAGAGAACTTTTCAAACATAAGAGGAATCTGGAGTAGTGCGTCAAGTTCTCAAACATTCAATTCTTTTCAAACATACTTTAGTTCTACTCTGGTTTAATATTCAAATATCCACAACATCACTTGTTCTTCTGAAAAAAAAATAAGAGGGTAGCTGGCTTCAAGCAACAGATTTTACACACAACAACAAGATAAGAACTTGTTCTTCTGACAAAAAAAAAAATCAAACATAAAAATACAGAAAAGTTTTCACGCAATAGATTTAACCAGATGGTCTCAAACATACCGTACTTTACACACCAGTATAACATTTCAACAAGGAAATAACTTTTTAACACAAAATAAAGACAAATCAGGTTAGAGGTATACTTACAGAGGGCCGATTAACTTTATTCGACTAGACTGGGATTCAGACTCCTCGTCAGTTGTCACCGTGCAAGCTCCGACGATGAATCTTCCCGATTAAGCCTTTAGACAAATGAAAAGGGGAAATACCAAACTTTTATGAAATGATCGATCGACTACTGAAGTCCCGATTAAGCCTCGTCGGTTCATGTTTTTACTGGTCTAATCCTTCCCGCTGGTCTTATAAATGTTTGATCTCTTTTATTTATAACTATGATCTGATCTGATTTGTTTAAGTATGATTTGGGACTGAAAATAGTAAAAACATCCTGTATATAAAGTTGTCATATACGCATTATAAATTTGATACGTAGTGCTATAAACAGGGTTTGGTGGCTACATTTGAATTTTATGTGCAGACAGAAGAAGTTTGGGAGATGGTTTTCAGGAAAATCAGGGGTTTTAATCTTGCTATGCTCACCAAGCAAGCCCGGAAGCTGCTAACTGAACCAGAAACACTGGTAGGAAGGATTTTTCGGGCGAGGTATTAATGTATTACCCTGATGGTTCCTATCTGTCAGCCAAATTAGGGAGTAATCTATCGTTTGTTTGAGGCTCAAAATATTATTAAAGAAGGAGCGAGGTGGAGTTTTGGGAGTGGAGATCGTATAAATGTTTGGAGAGACCCTTGGTTGCCAGACCGGGATAATCCCAGAATTTCTTCTGAGTGTGTTCAAAGCTAAGTTTAGAGGAGGTTCCAGTCGCAAGACGCCTAAACCAAACAAGGGATGATTGGGATATGGATAGTGTGAAAGATTTGTTTAACAGTAGAGACATTGAACTAAACAGAAGTATTCATGCGAGTCAAAGGCAGGTGCAGTAGTTCAGGATCGGCTAATTCGGTCCGGGGAGCAGGATGGACGGCTTTCGGTGAAGAGCTAGTATCTGAGGGTGATGGGGGGAATTAGCTCGGATACATGGCTGGGGCGGACGGCTATGTGGAAGTTTCAGCTTTCCCCCAAAATTAAGTCATTTTTGTGGCAGATTTGCAATGACTGTTTACCAACAACGGATAATTTGCGAAGGAGGGGAGTAAATTGCAGAGTCTTATGCGGTCTGTGTAGCGAGGAGGGAGATGAGTCTCTAATTCATCTTTTTGTGACCTGTCAGGTGGCGAAGAAAGCTTGGGGAGCAATGGGATGGCGTATGGTGGGCAACTCAGCTCTGAACTTTACTGATAAGATTCAACAAAATTTTCAAAATTTGAAGGAAGAAGATCTTACCAGAGTGGTGGTCGGCTGTTGGGGGCTGTGGAGCGAGAGGAACCAGCGGCTCTGGAACGGGAAACAGCTGGAGGAATCACAATGTTTGCTTCATAGATCTCTAGAGGAGTCTTGAAGGAAGAAGATCTTACAAGAGTGATGTAGTTGTCAATGTTTGTTTGCTTCATAGATCTCCATTGCTGTCTTACCGTATCCGTACCCAGTTTGCTGGAGGAATCACAATGTTTGTTTGCTTCATAGATCTTACCGATGTTTGTTTGTTTGCTACGGAGTATCTTACAAGAAGATCCTACCCACTTTGATTTTGCTTGTTTTCAGGGGATCTGACAAGTATGAGCTAGTAAATACTCCCTTCTTTCCTTACTAAACTTGACGCCACTTCACATATATTAAGAAAATAAATTTTACTTTATTGTAGAGTGCACTGTTTGACACTGTTTTGCACTATTTGGTGTAGAAATGTTTGCCAAATAAAGAAGTGTAAAGTTTAATATTGGAAGATCCAAAAAGGAAAGTGTAAAGTTAATTAAGGACCGGAGGGAGTATGCTTTTGCATCTTTGTGGTAGAATAGACCGAGATCATGTGTAACACAGAGATAACGGAATATGTGTTTGATCTCGTTCCAATGATGCCTTGTCGGATATGAGTTGTACCTAGCTAATAAATTTACAGAAAATGCAATATTTGGTCTAGTATTATTAGCTAAATACATCAACGCTCCAATAGCACTCAGATATGGTACTTCGGGATCATGTATTTCTTCGATGTCTCCTCGGAGACGAAATGGATCATCGTGTATGTTGAGAGAACGAACCACCATCGGTGAAGTCAAAGGATGTGCTTTGTCCATACAGAATCTCTTCAAAATTAAACTTCCTCGGTGTAATTAGATTGATGAATGAAAATTTCATCATTCAAATGCTCAATTTGAAGCCCGAGACAAAATTTGGTTCTCCCGAGATCTTTCATTTTAAATTATTTCATGAGATATTTTGCAGTATTTTCAATTTCATTGGGAGTTCCAATAATGTTTAAGTCATCAACATATACTGCAATTATGACGAATCCCGAATTTGATCGCCGAATAAAAAACACATGGACTAATTAGATCAATCTTATATCCTTCTTTGAGAAGGTATTCACTTAGACGATTATACCACATTCATCCAGATTGTTTTAGTCTATACAATGACTTTTGTAGTTTAATGGAAAACATGTCTTGAGGTTTCAAGTTGTAAGCTTCAGGCATTTTAAATCCTCTGGGAACTTTCATATAGATGTTTGTATCGAGTGAACCGTATATATATGCATTTACTACATTCATTGGGCGCATTTGCAGCCTTTCAAAAATAGACATGTCCATGAGAAACCTTAATGTAGTTGCATCAACTACTAGAGAATAGATTTCTTTATAATCAATTCCCATCATTTGAGAAAACTCTTGGGCAACAAGTCGGACTTTATATCTTACGATTTTGTTTCTCTCATTGCGCTCACGCACAAATACCCATTTAAAACCCACCGGTTTTACGCCTTTTGGCGTAGGAACTATCAGTAAAAAAAATATCACGTTTTTTAAGTTATTTTAATTCAGCCTGAATAGCTTCATTCCATTTGACCAATCATGTCGTTTTCGACATTTTTCTATTGATGTTGGCTCATTGTCATTATTTTCATTCATTCATTATTAATATCAACATTTTTTCGATTCCATTGCATTCCAGTAGAAACTAGTTTATTGAAATTTCATACTCCCTCCGTCCCGAAAAGGTTTGCCAAGTTGACTTTTCTTGGTCAATCACAATTAACTTTGACCAATGATATTTTTTAATACGAAATTATTTTGAATATGAAAATTATAACAAAATGTTCCTTATTGAAAAGACTTTCATAAAAGTATAAAATTTATAAATTATATGCATATATAGTAATTTAAATCATTGTCCAAAGTTCGCCATCTTTGACAAAGAAAAATCAATTTGGCGAACCTTTTCGGGACGGAGGTAGTAATTATCAACATTTCTATCATTATCTCGAATATCTTCCTCATTTAAGGAAGTTGGATCATCATTTGAGGTGTTTGTTTTGTCAATATCATTTTCTATGCTAGTATTTTCAAATTGTTCATTTTCTTGTTCAGAAGGATGAACATCTTTGGCATCACAAATTAATTCTTGCCGTTTAGTTTTTCTTGGTTTTAAGTCTTTTGATCCAAGTGGCCTGCCACGCCTTTTGCGTATAGAAGAATCATTTGCAATATATTTTTCAGAATTCTTTGCTAGGATTTTGATCCTGGTAGAGGCATTCATGACAGGAATATGTGACTTTGTCATTTTCTTTGTATCTGTGAATGCATCAGGCAAATGATTTACAATATTTTGTAAATGGATTATCTTTTGAACTTCTTGTTCACATGTGTTTGTTCTTGAGTCAAGATGTGATAATTATGTTGCATCCCATGTTATTTCTTTCGTACTCGGGTCTAATTTATTATTTTCTCCCCCTAAGGTCAGGAATACTACCCCATTAAAATGACAGTCTGCAAACCGTGTGGTGAATAAGTCACCAGTCATCGGTTCAAGATATTTTATTATTGAGGGAGATTCAAATCCAACATAAATTCTCAACCTTCTGTGAGGACCCATTTTTGTACGATGAGGTGGAGCAATCAGAACATAAAAAACACAACCAAATATCTTAATGTGTGCTAAGTTTGGCTCTTGTCCAGTAACTAATTGCATTGAGGAATATTTATGATATGCAGTTGGTCTAAGCCGAACTAAATTTGCTGCATGTAATATAGCATGTCCCCAAGTAGATGAAGGTAAATTACACTTCATTAATAATGGTCTGGGTACCCATAAATCGAAGGATTAGAACCAATGGGTCTTAAATTAGATTATAATTTTTCATGAAAAGGTCATTATTTTGCTCACCTACCAATAATATTGATATTAAGTCGGAGTATTTTTTAAAACCCTTTTCTTTATATTGTTGTTGGAGCAGCATGTTAGAGATATGCATAGTAGAAAATGTTTTCTCCAACATATTAGCATCAGTGACTTTTTGTCCGCATAACTTTAGTTTAGATGTTATTTGGAACATGGCAGAATTATAGTCATTGATTGATTTAAAGTCCTGAAATCTTATATTGATCCAGTCATGCTGGGCTTTTGGTAAAAGTACCTTTTGTTGATGGCCTACATCTCCTGTGAATTGTCCCATAATTCTTTTGGATCATCAACCAAAAGATATTCAGATTTGAGACTTTCATGGAGGTGGTGACAGAGGAAAATGATAGCTTTCGCTTTGTATTGGGAAGATGATAGATCATTGGCTTCAATTGTTTCTTCCAAACCATTAGCTTCCAGATGTGCCAAAGCATCAACTTTCCATTCTAAGTATTTTTGGTCAGACAGATCAAGAACGTCGAATTCTCTTTTGCTTATGTTGGCCATGTATACTACAAAATTGTATTGACGTAGATTATTACTAACCATACAATAATTATTTTAAATTATTATTTAAGTATGAATATATAAAGTATCCATAATAGTAATATACATAAAGTAAGTAAATAATTTTTCAAGTATCGACATATATGTAGTATGTATTAACTGGTCCAGTAATACACGAAATATACTAATTGCATATGAATATAAAATTTATCAATGATTCAAATATTGTCTAACTTAGATTTGAATGTGAAGGTGCTTTGTTTACAAGAGGGAAGTTCTAAATTGAAATAATGTTAAAAATCAAACAATACGGTAAACAAAACAACAAAACTTGAGTTATTAGCTTTTGCCGACATGGTTTAATAGTCACGAGTATTTTTGCCAGTAAAACAACTACAACCAAATTATCAATACCAACCGTTTCTTTAGACAGTTTGATCAGCAGCTAATCATCTTTGTATTTCATGTTCTATTAGTGCACCTAGAATTTATTGTTTCTATGCAACCCGTGAACAGGTCAAATATATTACAAGTACAAGTATATTCTACGGAGTATTAGGTAGTCAGACTATTCATTTTTTATTTAAATTTTGAACACGGAATATTAATAGAGTTACGATTATGCTTCATGTATACCTTATCTATACCTAGTGGTTTATACTCCGTATATGTAATTATTACAAATTTACGAGTATGCTTTATATATATATAATGGAAAAAATTGAATTTTGAATTTATAAAATGAATACAACCAAAATGTCATCAATTATGTTTACCAAAGCATGCATGTGACCTTATTGTGACCTTGTCTAAAATTAACTGTTCATACACATTGATCGACTTACTGGACAGCTTATGTGCAGTCCAGTTTCTGACAATCATGCAAACAACTGATAAATGTAATGTTCTCATGACTAGTCTTAATATATTAGAATTCATACCACATCTCATAGTCATTTCATATTTTCATCTTCTCCGTTACTTACTCTTTCTTTTTCATTTCAAGTCATATTTATATTGTGTATCAGTATTCCTTTTTTCTCTGAGATCATAACTTCACTTGCTTATGCTTTTGTTCTACGAATAGCTTATCAAGTTTGGAGAACACTTAAAAGGAGGTTAAGTTCTATTCATTTTATTATAAAAGAAAGCACGTAAGTTTTATTTTGAAAACCAAATAGAATACTTACATAGTATTATACTCTGAAAAGTATTTTTAATGACTTGAGAACAATCATGTAAATAATTAATACGGAGTAATGATGTTCTTACCTGCCGAAAGATGATTTCTTGAAGACTTTTGAACAGATTCGTGCTGATAACGTGTTGTGAAATGAAGAAGATGAAGAATTGATATAAGAGAATATATTATTAATAACCTTTGAATTACTTCTTCTTTATATTTGAGATTTTCTGAATTGAGTTTACAAAGGATTGAACTAGCCCTATTTATACTAGCCAATCTTGGATGTGAATCATTTAGGAATGATTCTACACAATTTGTTGGCAGTATTAGATCTATCCACTCATCTAACTATGATTACAAGGATATGAATTAGATGAGTAGGCTCATTACAAGGACCAGGAGTAGCTTGGTGTCCTAATGACAAGGATGAACAATTCACACATGTCTTTCTCAGGAATTTACAACAACAATAGATGATTTTTTAATCATATTTCCCGAATAAAATAGGAAAATTTTAGAGTGCATATGCTTTAGAGGATGTTGCTTTAGAGGATGTTTTGCTGCGCTCTAGAGCTGTCACAATCTAGTTTGATGTTTAATACATGTCACAATATTTCTCTTAGAAAACGTTTAATATTGCAAAGAGGCCCTTCCTTCCTCAAACTGTATGCCCTTCTTTCTGCTAAAGGAAGAAACTGGCGTC